TCATCAGGGAGCATTTGAGATCTTGCTGCCTGGCATGTGTCATCAGCTTGGCTCAAATAAACTTTTTTTTTTAAGGTAAGAATCATCAGAGTCCCTACAATAAAAAATAAATCCTTAAAATTTTGGAAAACATCCCTCCATGTACACATGTAGAGTCGTGTACATGTTTTTACTGAAATGAGATACTATGCAGATTACCTTAGAGACAGTTTAGCATAACAAAGCTTCATACTGTTCCCCTGCATACATGTGCCACAGACTAGTTCCCTACTGATAGGCTTAAATTTGCAATGTTCCCTTGTCATAAACAGTGCTTCCAAGACCGCCTGTGTGCATTTCATAGGAATTTATGAGACATACAAGCGCCTTTTAGAACTTCTGAGATTATCTTCTTAGTGTGTACTTCCCAAAGAGGGAGTATGGATAGGATAGCACATTGATGACACCTTAGCTACCCATTGCCCGGCTGTTGGAATTTGCACCCCCAGGAAGACTACATGAGAAGGCCTCCTTTCTCACATCCTCCCCGACAAGGGGATCAGCCCGTCGTCTTCTCTCTCCTGTAAACCTCAATGCCTGACTCCGGATTTGTAGTGATCAGGGCAGGCTCTGTGTATCTGCGGGGAGATCCTGGACATGCTGCTTTACCTGCCCAAGTATTAGTGGGAAGTACTGTCCCGGAGGGTCATTTTGGGGTTAAATAAGATGATACATGTGAAGCCCTCACCCTCTAAATGGTGGGTGTTTAATTATGCTTCATGGCTATTTTTTCTTAATTTTTTATTGATTTTGAGAGAGAGAGAGAGAAACAAGAATCAGTGGTTTCTTGTATGCACCCCGATTGGGACCATACCTGCAACCTGGATATGTGTCCAGACCGGGAATTGAACCTGAAACATTTTGGTGTACAGGACTATGCTCCAACCAACTGAGCCACACCGGCGCTATGTGCTGGTTCATTCTTTGAAGAGGCCAGACTTCTGTTCCTTCACTTATTTTTCCCCCCCTTATACCCAGTATGACAGTGAACAATCAACAGTTTCTTTGGACACAGATAAGTTTGAAAATTTTTCTAAGAAATACTAGTATATCCAGAAGCAATGTTGCCGGGCAGTGGGCTTTGAGATTTGCAGGTTTTGTTTTTTTAGATTCGAAGTTTTACTAGATACTATCCAGTTATTTCCTGGAATGGTTTTACCTATTTACACACCAGAAAAGTCACAAAATATAAAATACAAATGCCCAGTACGCATTATCACAAACTAGCTGCCTTTTGTGGACCAGGTTATCTCACTTAACCCAATATCTGCTAGATTGTCTCTAATGTGAATGATCCATCTTTTACAATGTGCGCCACGCTGGGTGAGAAGCAGCATCTCAGCTTAATTTGCATATGCCTGATAGCTAGTAAGGATGCACATTTCAGAAATAAAGTTATTGGAAATTTGGATTTTTTTTACTTGCTCATCCTTAATCTTTGCCCTCTTTTTCTGTTGTTATTTTTCTTATTGACTTGTGGGTTTTATTAATTTAATCTGGGTAGATTTCTGTTTAATATATTGCAAAATATTTTCTATGAAGATGGTTGACAGTTAGGTCTTTGATTTCACTATTTCATTCTCATAGCTTTAATTTCCAGCTTATCTAGGTCAATAAATGGACAATCCCATAGTTGTCTCCAAGATTTAGTATAATTGTGATTGGATTTATATATAAGAATAGTTGTGTACAAGACAAGTGTGGTCTTAACTCTCTGATCCCCACAATTTTATCTTTCCTGAACTAAACATTAGGTTATAGTGGGTGTTAAACAGGCCAAAGTCAAGTCTATGTGGGTAAAAACCAAAGCTCTCCCAGCCTTGGTAAATAGAAGTCAGGATCTCAGACTGGTTGAGGAGGTGGATGGTCCTAGACCTAGCCCATCAGGTTTCCTGATGGGATAATAATGGATCCAGTTTTTAGTGTCTTGGGAGAGTGAGTGAGACTAACTAATGAATTTGAATGTTTACTACTCAATGTTTATGTGTTTGCTTTCTGTGTTTTGATAATTGGATTTTCCAGAACAGAAAACAAGCCACATGAAAAACAGGATGCCATACACCTGTGTTATTGTTTCAAAGACTTTTGGGCCATGATTAACTTTAAGGGTGCCAACAAGGCATGTCTGTTTAATAGCTCTTTCTAAAATGATGGGATGATTTGGGGGCAGGAGGGAGCCACACTAGAAACTTAAAATGAAGTAGCTTTTTATATTGTTTGGTAAGAAGTTCACAATTTCCAGTGTCCTGGTAGTAATATATTCGCAATAATAAATCAGTTATTTTTGTAGAACTTGGGCCATTGTAGCCCCCTGCATGTTGGAGCTGTGGGAGTAAATATTTTCTAGTGGCATTTCTCTGGGCAGATAAAAAGATTGCTATTGAGAAGCCAAATCAGTGCTCCTGATTTGGGGCAAGTATGTGACAAAACAGGTGATATTTTCCCCTCTTACAGGAAACCAAACCAAATACAGTCTTCCAGGCAGGGCCGGGTAGATGGAGGGTAAACACGTTTTGATGCATCATTCCTTTGGCTACAGGCCTCCTGCATGTGGGACTATAAATAAGTCATTTCGCAGAGTACCAGGGGTGCAAGCCAAGCACATTATTTTGCCTTTGACCCTGGCAGTGCTTTTTTTGGTTAATACTTCACCATCTAGTTGGTGGATTTTTAAATGCTCGCCAATTTTAACACTGTTAATTTATGCAATATTTCATGAAGTCTACCTAATGTTAACAAGTTTACAAAATTCAGACCATAGTTCTAAATCAGAGTATTCAAGTAATAACAGAAGATAAATAAAAGAAGAGAAATGCTCATATATGTATTTTTCCATTCAACATTGAACTCTAAATATTGAGTCATAATAATTTCACATTTTTCAGCTCAGTGCCTGCTGCCACTATCAGGTTTTGAATTAATAATATATAATTTCCCCATTTATTTCCTTGATAGTAAGTGGTTTTAATGACACAGGGAAGAATTTTGTATAATAGTTTGATCAGTTATAGGTGTAATATGGGTTTACATTCCATCAGAATTAGAAATATCATTTTCCCATAATGTGTGATCTTTATGACAGAAATGGGAAATTAAAAACCAATACTTAATTTTGTTTTTGCATCTAAAAGAAAATGCTATTTTCTGTTTGATATACTGATGCAAAATATGAGAAATGTGGCTTTTATTCAATGTGGCTGAAATTGGAAGGGCCATCGCTGGAAGAGGTGAAATGGACAAATTGTTGGTCTTAAGATTGGCTTAAGAAATATTTGTTGCCTGGCCAGCATGGCTCAGTGAGGGTCAACCTATGAATCAGGAGGTGACAGTTCGATTCCTGGTCAGGGCATGTGTCCAGGTTGCAGCTCGATCCCCAGTGTAGGGCGTGCAGGAGGCAGCTGAATCAATGATTCTCTCTCATCTTTGATGTTTCTATCTCTCTCTCCCTCTTCCTTCCTCTCTGAAATCAATAAAAAAAATTTTAAATAAGAATCTTTAAAAAATAAATATTTTTTGATTCCTGTTAACCAGATACTTCTTGAGCCCACCAGGGAAGGTGGGTTGGCAGTTGGATAAACAAACTGTCCAGGTCATAGAAACACATGTCTCTCAATCATGAGAAGAGAAAGCCAATCTACCTACTGGACTTACAGTAGGATCGCAAAACTACAGGGAAAACCTTTATCCTTTTCTTCAGCTTTGCTAGTTGAAAGGACTATAGGTCTCTGTATTTTTACAAGTTGAATCTCATGTGCTGCTTCATAGAGAAACCTAGCCCTTTCAGTTAGCAAAGTAAAAAAGGATAAAGAAAAATGGTGCCTCCTAAAACTTCCTGTTTTTTAACCTTATGAAAGTGAGCTGGAAAGTGAGTCTGGTACCCAGAAAGCATTGAGTAAAGATTTCCTCTTGGCCCTATTTAATTGGACAGACACTGGTGACTTGCCAAAAACAATTGGTTGGTTGGTAGAGATCCAGGCACTGCCATTTTTACTGTGTTTATTAAATGATTATGTAATGTGCCCTAACTGGTTTGGCTCAGTGGATAGAGAGTCGGCCTGTGGACTCAAGGGTCCCAGGTTTGATTCCAGTCAAGGGCATGTACCTTGGTTGTGGGCACATACCCACTGGGGAGTGTGTAGGAGGCAGCTGATCGATGTTTCTCTCTCATTGATGTTTCTAACTCTCTATCCCTCTCCCTTCCTCTCTGTAAAAAATCAATAAAATATATTTTTAAAAAAAGAAAAAAAAATGATTATGTAATGCATTTGAAGATCTGAGTTTGTCTTTCTGGCTGTAAAGGGCATGCAAATAAATACAAGGGCGACTTTGGGCCTTTGGGGAGGAGCAAGTGTTCTCCCCCAAATCAGGCCCTTTCAGGAGATGGCCTGGGTGCCAAACATATGAGTCAGCATCCTTTGCCAGTGATGCCATCACTGTCCACTCAGTGGCGATGGAGAGTAAACCTGGAATTGCCAGGCCTGCTTGTCTAGTATTGGTGGAGGAATAGGGACGTGTCTGGAATATAATGCCCTAGCTGGTTTGGCTCAGTGGATAGAGAGTCAGCGGATGGAAAGGTCCCAGGTTCGATTCCGGTCAAGGGCACATGCCTGGGTTGTGGACTTGATCCCCAGC